CTATAATTGCCTGTCACTGAAAACACGCTTTTAAAAATATTTCAGTGAAGAATGGATCACCTATTCACAAATTAATTTCAAGAGTGATACAGATATCACAGTCATTTAAAACAAGGTTGAGATTTTTCCCCTTTGCACTGGGATAGCTCTCAGACTAAATCCAACAAAATCGACTGCGTAATTTAAGATTTTCACCAACACATATTTTTGTAGGTTAAAAACAAACATCAGAAGGAAAAAAGGAGAAAAAAAAGAAGACAACCCCCCAAAGCTGGAATTGCCTTTTCCATTCAGATGCAGTGCTATACCCAAAACTGAAATTGTCATACAGCCCATTAATCTCCATTACAAACTGTGTTCTTTATTTAGTAAAATTACAGCATTTGGTTGAATGATAACAGTATTTACATACTGGTTTATGAGCTCCTGAGATGTTTCTCAAGCAAATAAAATAAGAGAATAGGTTAGGGTTTATTGAAATAAGAGAACTGCATTGTTCCTAGGAGAACAACATACTGCTGCTATTATTGCTCCTATGCTACAAACGTTTAAAACAATGCTGTACTTTGAAGGATTCAAAGCACATATCATCTACCAAAATAGGACTAAATCAGTGGTGCATGCAGAATAGTCCTCAATGATGACAAAGGGATCCCAAAGAATCTACAGAAAGCATCCAAATTTACAAAATTCAGAGTCCTCCTGAAAACACCACGCAAAATTTGGTATTGTGACTATGCTCTGCAGAATAGCCTAAATCCAGAAATAGAGAAAATCTAGGGGGGAAAAAAAAGGCGCATCTAAAGAAAAGAACACCACAAACCTATTGTTGTCACTATTAATGATGTTACATCCCTACTTGTGGAGCATCATCCAAATTTTTAAAAAAGCACAAAAGCAACATGCCACAATCTACCAGTAGAGACAGGATCAGGATAAACAGACGACATGATAAGAAACTTCAAATGGTTCTGGAAAACAGCAAATACACTCAGAACCTCAACAGAAAGAAAAGAAAAACAAGTACCTACATAGCTGCAGTTTTCAATTATTAAATATTAAGCATCATAAAAATATTTTCACATAGCATCATCCAATGATGTAAGAGCTGTCTCAAATATTTTTCAGCAAGACATCCTCTCTTGACTTAACTCTGAAACCAAGAGCTCAGTTCTAAACAAACTAAGCATTTTTTAGCAAATGTAAAAGCTTTTTATGTACTTTGCTTTTTAACGTGACAGTAGTTCTTTACTAAAATAAAGTTTATTCAATTACAACTATTTCTAGGGGGACTAACAGAACATCAAGCCTTAAAGTGCAGCATGGGTAGAACTCCATGGAGGTCAAAGCTGCAAAGTGAAATAAATGTCAATAATAGCCACAGTCCAGGGCCAGAGCTGGTGAGGGAAGCATTCCTTCTACCAAGCATGGCAAACCACAAACCCTTGTTGCAGAACACACACACATACACACTCAGACTGAAATTCAACCTGCTGGTCAGTGACTGGTCTTCAGAAAATTTTAACAACTACTGTCAGGAGTAAAAACTTCCCTCTGGGGGAAAACCAGGCTTTTTATCCATTTCCTGCTTTTTCCAGTATGGTGACAATTTCCTAACAATCCGTTTTAATATCAGGCTGCAGGGAATTTTTTGAAGTATGCAAGTATGCATGCATGCCCCCATATACTAAATATATCACATAACTCCCCATTTGAAAAGTGCTTTTGGTAACTCGGAATTTACATTTTCAAGTTAAGTATTCTACACAAAACCAGCATAACCTCTGCAAAATAAAAACCAAGTTATGTAAGGATCTGGCGGTACAGACAGGTTTGCGTATCAAGCAGTAAAGTATTTTGAAAAGATAATATTATAATAGATAGAGCTTCACTTAAGAATTTATTCCACAGCAAACTTTCTTCACTTCTCCATCAACAGACCTCTCTTTGATTTTATTTTCTTTATTCTCTATGTACACTGGTTATTATAAACCCAGACATATCAAAGCAGCTTTGCAGTGTGTGCAGCTATGAAAATTAAGGCTATGAAACAAATATTTGTAGCATTTGCCGAGTCAAAAATAAGGATTTTTACAGTTAGAGAGGTGTCTAAATGTGTACATATACCTAAATATCTATGTAATTGTCTCTATCCTCCACACAGCTCACATGAGACTCCAGAGCTGCCTGCTTACAAGACATGGCAGAATTGTGACCCAAACAAGTAAATTTTTGAAATCAATACACAGCTGAACATATGAGCTTATAAGGTAAGAGTTCTAAAAATAATTTCACCTATACTAGTCACACATTAAGGTCACATTGTTGCCATAAGATATAAAGGACTCTATTAAAAACAAAAAAGGCAAGAAATCAAGTGATATTTCAATAGCTTAAAAAGAAAAAAAAAAAATTAAAACCCACAAACCTACAAGTCTACAGGGACCCCTAACACCTAATCCATCCATCAAGTCCTGACTTCAAGGAAGCCAAAATGTTGTCATTGTCACGTTTTCCTGTGTGGTTCTGTATCTCCAAGTTTTAACTATTAGAAAGGCACAATCAGCTGGTGTGTATTGTATAGGTCAATTTACTTCCAATACACTAATTTATGCAACATTAGCACAGAATGCCAGCTACAATTCTCTTACTGTTTGCACTCTAGGAGTAGACTTGTATTTTCTGCCAGCTCCATTACATCATCCGAAAAAACCCAAACACATTTTTCCCCCCCCTCCAAATCCCTGCCACTCTCCTTTTCCTTCTCCCCTCTCCCTTCCCAAGCCCTTCCAAACCACACGCCAATTACTGCCGTGAGCTTTATTTCTCTTTACAGCCTGCAAAGCCCCGGCGCGCAGGGCTTTGGCCATTGTGTTGCCGGGGATGCCTCCATCACTGACCTTCGCTTTCCCACTCAGACTGTTACATAACGCAGTGCCTGCCTGCGTGCGGCGACTGGGAGCCCGGGCGAGTGGCGGCGTGTGCCTCGAGTGCCTGGCCCCCTGCTCCTTCCCCAACGAGCCCCGGGAGAGGAGGGACATGTGGGTCAGCAGGTTAGCAGTACCAGAGCCTAAACAATTCGGGACCGCCAAGAAAACACCCTCACCGCCGGAGCTGCCCAGGCTTCCCAGCACCCCCCTCTCCTTTTCGCATCCATACAGAAGCGACAGCCGAGTGTTACATAATTTATGGGATCCCAAAGTTGCCCCCTCCCCAAACGCGGCGTAGCCGGCTGCCGGCTCCCTCCCGCCGGCCCCGCTCCCCGGCAGCACCATCTGCCTGCGCCGCCGGAGCGCTGAGCCGGAGAGCCGGGAGGGGGGGGCGTTGTGTAACACCCACGAACTACGGCCGGCTCCGCAAACATCCAGAAAACTCCCCGACAAATTAAGGAAATTTTCTCCAGTGTTTCTGATTAACCTCGTTACATAAGGCGCTTGCATTCCAAATCCACTCTCGCAAGCTCTAAATATACCCCGCGCAGCCAAACGCTCCCTGCGCACACGCCCGTGGCCACCCGGCCTCCTCCGGCCGAGCCCGCTCCTCCTCGCCTCGGCATCCGCCGAACGGCGCGCTCCCTGCTCGCAAATCGTCTCTAATTAAATGTTTCGGCGTGTGACATCTCGATGGCTTTTACTGTACGCGGATTCCCTGAGTGGGAAGCTGCCTGGGAAGGGGGGGTGTGGCCAAAAGGGGAAAAATACTGTAAAACACAAGCCAACACATGATCAGCCATATTCCAATCTACAACCCAAACCCCCTCCGTCCGAGGAGAGACGGTCTCCCCACCGCCGGCGGCCGGGCATCTCTGCCCCAGCCCCGCCGGCTACCGCCGAGGGGGCTGCGCTCCCGCCGGGCACGTACTTTTCTCCGCCCGTCATTTCTTTCAATACATAGCGTTATTTAATTCATTTTTACCCATCACCGAGGGATTTTACCGAGCGATGCCTCTCTAGCGCGCTCCCCCTCTTGTAGGAGCAACGCTTCATAAATTATTTACAAGTAATTAAAGCCGCAGCCTCCTCCCTCTCGCACGTCTCGGCAAACTCCGGCGGCGTTTGAAGCTGGGCCGCTGTCGGTGGCGCGGCGGGAGCAGCCCGCCCCGCACGGCCCCGCACGGCCCCGCACCGCTCCGCCCGGCAGCGCGCAGCTCTCCCGCCGCCGGCGCGGCTCGGGCGCTGGCGCGGCTGACGCCAAACTTCAACAGCCCTGGGCTGACCCGCACGACTCCGACACGCAACCTGAGGCAGGAGGGCTTTGACAGCTGGCGGCAGAAAAGGGGGGGACTCGTTTGTTTGCAGCGGTTTGTTTATTCGGGGGCCGGCGGGCAGCGGTAAGAGAATCCTCGGGCGCACGGAGACCCTCTGCGAAGTTGTGCACCTTCAACAAGAGCAGCTACGAGGTCATCCACTCCGCGATGAAATAATTTTTAAGATACACTTAAATGAATTAAGGGAAAACAGCGCACAACAGAGTGAATAAGTCACCCGCAGACCGCAAATCTCCTGTTTAATCACAGATCCCCCATTCACAACAAGCCACAGCACACCAGTTGAGAAACTGTCAAAAGGAGACAGACGAGGGGGAGAAAAAAGAGGGGGGAGGAAGGACACTGCAGCTTTAAAAGTTTGTTCCCTTGAATCCCAATACTCCCGCTGTTGCTTTATATATTTATAAAATTATGTAATTTCAGGGGCACAGTACCCATCCGGATACCACAGGCAATAAACGAGACAGACAGGAAAGCACCAAACACCGCTCAATATTTTCATTGCGTTTGTCCCTCCTCCTGCAGCAATTAAAAGAAGCTATAAAAGTTTGCAAGGTTTTGCAGGGGGTAGAAGCCCGGCTTCTTTGCGTGCGCGGCTTCAACAAGCACGAGCAATAAACCAGGGGATTAAATTGCTGCATTTCCCCCTTCTCTCTTACCCCCCTCTTCCTATTCCCACCCACCCCCCGATCCCACTCCCCCGGCCCCCTCCCCCTTCCCCAAGTCTCCCTACCTCTGCTGCTGCTGGAGTAGCTCTGCCTGCGGACGGGAGCCGGCGCATCGCTTTTCCGGGCAGGCTCCAGGTTCACCGGGGTGTCCCTGGCGCCGGCGGCCGCCTCGGAGACGCTGCTGCCCGGCTCACTGGCTGCTGGATCGGGGGCTGCCGGAGCCGACTCCATGTTTTTCCCAATGTAGATCGCTTGGAGATGGCGAGCTCCTACACTCCCTCTATCTTCTGTTTCCAGCGCAACTCTATGGTAGGAAAGCAGAAGGGAGAGAGCGAGCGTGATCCAGATGGGATGTGAGCTTGCCTGGCTGTGACCACAAGCAGCGCTAGCGAGAGCTGCACACCCCCCCGCCCCCGCACCCCCCGCGCTCCGCCGCCAGCCCCGCGCCCCACGCCCGGCACCGCCGCCCTCCGGCGCGGCCTCGGCCCGGCTGCGGGACCCGCGCCCGCCGAGGAAGCCCGCGGCTCCGGGAGGAGCGACGGCCGCGGGATCCCCGCGGCCCCCGAGCGGGGCCGGGGCCGCAGAAGGTGCTGCCATTGCCCAGGGCGGGCGGGGAGCCAGCCCGACCTCCGCCCGGGCCGGCACCGACGGCTCGGCGCGATGCTGGGGCCCGGCCAACGGGGCCAGCGCGCCCGCGAGGTGCTCCCCTCTGCAGCCCCGGTACCAGCGGGAAGAGCTTCCACGCAGGGCTGTCTTCCCTCCCCCATGACTGTTTCAGCTGAAGCCGCATCAGAAGATGCCAGCTGTATTAAGCGTCTCAAGACCCACATGTTTAGCAGCCACGCAGCCGGAAAAGGCAAAATTTCAGACAGTACCTCTCTTTCAATGAAGTGCGCTTTGACATAGAACAAAAGGTGCCTAGCAAGGTGCCAGAAAACCTCCAGATCTGGTCTGAGTTCTGCAAGCACCCTTGTGCAGTTCACAGTCTCAGTAATGGTCAACTCCTTGTCCACTACCTGATGTTAAAATCCAGTAACAGCTGCCACAAGCACACCCTGGAGAACACATCACCCCTGTACAACAGAGGCCGTGTTTCATGCAGCCCTACTGCCTCCTGCACAGAAGGTGCTAAAGCTGCCTGCTTTGACTGCTCTGATAGAAGCATATCCCGAGCAGACCAAATCATGATATTTTTACTAAAAGCGGTTCAAGCTTTTTCCAAATGGCACTGGATCATGTGCAAGCAGCTGATATGCCACCTTCTGCCAACCAGGACTGCTGCTACGGCTTTCAACACTGCTGGTGCTGGTGGTACCTGATGAAACTTCTAGGTAAACCCTGGGCAATTCCACATTCTGCAGTATAATCACCAGTGCTGCACTACTCTCCCACAAACGGTGTCTGCTCAAACAGCTGTGAAACTTACCATGAGTCCCACTTGCCCCTGGCACCTGTCCACAAACTGGATTACATCTTGCACTGCTGATAGTTCTTTTGGTGGAAGGGTAGAATCTTGGGTCAGTTGATCTGGAAGTCCTGAAGTTCCAATTACCCGTGTCTAGGAAACAAACACCACAATAGTTCTGATTATCTGTTGTCTGCTTCCGTCTGAGAGGAGTGGGAAGCGATTGCAGAAGACAGAGTAACAGTAAAGAATTATTCTGCATTCACTTTCAGAGCATGAATAAATTTGAGGTGGTCAGAGCTGGGCTTACAGACTTTGCCCACTGAGTAAAACCAAGTCTTGTTCTTTGTGAATAAGTACTGGGTTAGGGCAGGCCTGGGAGCACAAAAAAGCTAGCAGGTTTTTCACCAGCATCAATTAAAAGGGTCTCAAGCTGGATGGAAGCTGTTCCTAGAGAGCAGCCTGAGAAAGAAAGCGAGTGGAAATGGACAAGGGAATCAGGACAGGTGGAAGGGGAGCACAGGTTCCTCTCCAGGACTAACGTGGAGACTGTGAGCACCCTCAGAACATACACTGGCACAGGCAGGGGGCACAGGCTTTGGGCATGGTCTCTCCAGAATCTGCAGAGGGCAGCAAGGTGGTCCTTCTCTGATGCAAGTCTGGTGGATTAGAGCTGCAATTTCCTGCAAAGTCTCTCCCTTTACTTTTTGCTAATTGACAGCCTCCAAATATAAGTAAGAATTATGCGATCTTTGGAAACCAAACTGCCTGTTAGCCTGAGAAAAAGCTTATCCCTCCCTCTTCAAATTGGGGTTTAAGCAGGCTGACCAGGCAATGTTTGTTGGGAAACTTGCCCGGCTAATAAAAAAAAGAATTTCATTCCTCAAAGCTGCCAGACCACTGCCTTTCACCGGTGCTGAGAACAATTGGACTACTTGCCACAGTAAGGATTATTCACGTGTTTTGCAGGACTGGTTTTAGTATTGCAGCTACTTCAAATAATCAGAGAGTGTAGAGTGGGTTTTTTCTCCTGTTATCTGTTAAAGGTTGCTGATATTTTGTACATCTACCTTTGTTACACAGTTGTCATTTAGTCCATCTTTTCCCCTATTTTCCAAATCTAAACAATTTCTTAATTTACTTAGAAGAGAAAGGAGAAGGAAACACTGATGGCTACAACAGGACAACACAGCAGACCTTTGGTTTTCAAAGTAAATTGTGAGGGAGGAGAAATCACAGGAGTAAGCCCAAATGCTTAGAACATCTGAATTAATGGAGAAGAAAAATTAATTTTATGTTGTTTCACAACATCTCTCTCATAAATCACCAGCAATTAGAACCAGCTAAAGCAGGGCAAATCTGTAGCTTGTTTGTAGAGGCCACAATCTAGGAGCACCTACACAAGCAAAAAGACAAAGCTGCTTTGTTCTAGCAAAAAGATAGAATGTCCACAAAGTGAAAGCACCATGAGCAAAGGAAATAGGGTGACAGGTGACAGTTCACTTGAGATTTATATAGTGCATGAAAACCACCACGACTTTTGTCCAAAACTCCCTCTCTGTGAACCTATTCTGCTAAGACATTTCCTGGGCATAGAAAAGGTCTTCCTCGTTCTTCAGTCTATTTCTAGCTTCCAATCCCTACCAAGATGGTTCATTAACTTCGATCATTAAGCTTGTTTCAACAAGTGAGATGGCATTAGCAGCAAAGACAGGTATGCTGAGAAACTTGAGGATAAATGTTTAGTTAGATGAAAGAGGGCTTTAGAAATTACTGTAGATATTACCTGCAACAGATCCTACCAGAAGTATCAGTAATGGAACAAAAAGGGACAACTATCACCAAACATCTCCTATTGATTAGCTGATTTCATGTAGATAGAATGATTAATAGTTTTAAAAATTCTAATTTAAAAAGTCACATAAATCTTACATGATTCTGGAGTAGAGGAGGTATAAAGATCATCTGGACACCTTTTCAGTGGCAGAGGAAGTGGAAGAAGAGCTGCAATTCATGCAGCAACCAGACACACAGAAAGCAGTTCTTTGGCAGGACAGGCACGAGGTAGAGGGCACACAACTCTGTGCAACAAACCACAGCTCACACAAGAAGAGCACCACACCATCCTGCCAGCATTCACTGCCCATTAATGTGCAAACCCACTTTGAACCTCAGCCACTAAGGGTCTTCTACACACATAACTAATCCAGCTGTTCAAATACCTCCCTCCAAAAAGAATGCCAAAGTACATTCCTGACCCAGGAGTTACATGAAACCATAGAATATCTCAAGCTGGAAGGGACCCATAAGGATGACCAAGTCCAATTTCCTGCTCCTCACAGGACAGGACTAAAACTAAATCCTATGACTATGAGCATCATCTAGACTCTTAAACACGTTCTGGGGTCTGAGCTACCCCTGGCTGCAGCACACACATGTCAAAGGGGCCTGTCAAGCCTTCCTAGAAAGCTTTGTTAGCTCCAGTCTAGCAGTGGTAGAGAAAATACTGGTGCAGAGATGAATAACCATGAGGGCAAAGCTTGAATAACATGTCAGAGATACAGCTGTTCCTCCTCTACAACAAGTTGCTAAGAGTAAAGCACTTTTACTTCCATTGGACATATCCCTGTGGTTTTTATGTCTTTGCAGGAAAAAATAAATTTAAAAAATCATTGATTGAAGACGTTCAGAAGAGTATCAGAGTCAAGCAAGGCATAGGACACCGAGTAGGTCTTCATTACAGTTCTGATGTCATCGTGCTTATATACCTATATTCAAAGAAGAGTTTAAAATACATACATCTATTCTTTGTAACTACATTCTGTGGCATATCTTTTAAATGCTTACAAAACTTTAGTTAATTAAATTTTACAGTAGGACAAGAAACTGCCTCCACTGGAAACACATACAGCAACCTCCTCAAAATTATGCAACCCATTAAGCTTCAGCAAAAACAGGCAGACTGGTAAACTACAGGTATGGAACCTGAATATTTGACAGTAATTAAATCAAACAGCATTCTCTCATATCCTAGATGAAAACAAAATTAAAAATAATAGGAAAGAAATAAGACAACTGCTGGAGGCACTTAGACTAGATGCAGCTTCAGTGGACCCTTTCCCACAACTTTATCTCTAAGCAAAGTGGAAAGCTCATCAAACAGTTCAGCTGGAATTTGCACTCACAGACATAATTTTGTTTGTTTTAAAGACTGAGGAGCATTTGTTAATCAGCTCGCACAGCACAGATTCAGTGCAATCTCCTTCTTCCTTGCTGTAAACTCATTGTGTAAACTATGAGCTGCTTTTCATTGTTTGTTAAAGCCTCCATTTCCACTTTTCCTCTCCTGCCATTTGGATTCGTTCCTTATTGGATTTTCTGTTTCTGAAAGTGGAGAAGCACACAACATAGAAAGTAAAGAATCTTTTGTGCTTATCTGTACTGCACAATATCCACCATCAGCATCTCCTGAGGTAAAGAGCAGCACAGGTCAGATTTTAAGAATTCAAGACTTTCTGTGATTGAATTAAGGTAAAAGGCCCAGAGAACCCACCTGTCTCAGCAAGCTGTTTTTGCTGCTGTTTTCCTGCAGATAGTTTAAAAAAACATTGAATATTTTCCTTTAGCCAGGTGAAGAATTTTCCTGCTTTTCATAGGCTTGCAGACTTCTTCCTCCCACAAAGCTAAGCTAATTGAATTAGAGGAACAACTCAGCCTGCCCATATTCTCTGGAGAGCTGAAGGCAAACAGGGAAGAGAAAAATCTGATCCAGAATTACATTTTTGTTCTCAAGAAAATGGAAGATTTTTTCAGTGAAGATGAGTAAATGAGATGCCATTTCTGAAACCTTGGATCACTTCACCCACATCCAAAGTGGGTGTGGTTGATTTCTAATTAGCTCTTGCTTCAGTACTACCTTCTTCACTGTGTTTTTACTCAAGATCTGTTTCCTTAAATACCACATTTATTATAGAATTTATCCATATCAGACTGATAACTCACATTTGTGCAAAAAGACGTGCCTCTCTAAAAGTAACAATAGGTTAAAAGCACGTTAAAGCAAGGAGAAAAAAATAGCTTGTCCTTGATTAAAAAAAATTCCTACTGTCTAGATGGTAATTTTGTATGTGCCTTCGTACATCTGTCATTCTCCCAATGAATTTCCACCAGTAACATCACCATTTTCCACAGGACACCTTCCAAAAGGTGGGGAAGTTATTGTACAAACTACCTGTCCTTCCCACTCCATCCCAGCCCAGCCATCTCACAAACGTTCTGAACAGGTGCTAGAAAGCTCTCCCAGGTTTCCCATTGCAGCAGCAAGGAACTGCACCTGTACCCATTCTGATTTGCCTTCTTTTTCTCCAGGTCACAGAACTTGATCTTCTAGCTTAGAAACATGAAAATTACCTTCATTGTATGTGTAACAAAAAAACTACACAACCCATCAGTATAATCAAGCAACCCAAACACACAGCAGAGACATTACAGCTTAGATGAGCATTAAAACTGAATTATGCCAGAAATGCAGAAGAGAAAGTAGTAATTTTATTTAAAATGGTCAGGTTTTACATAATTTGAAGCCTCATTTGATTTATTTAAACACTGTATCTAGTAAAATATTTTTATTTCAAGGAAAATGGAATGCTGTCTACTGCATGCAAAGGTCAGCTTGCATTAAAGAAAACATATATTCTGCTGCCTGCTTTAACTGTTTGAGGGCTTCAAGCTCCACGGTAGAAAAGCTTGTGTCTTTTATAATACTAAGTCCAAAATTTTATATATTTTATACAAACTAGAAAGATTAATATGAAGCTTCAAGTATTATGTTGAAAAAAGGAATCCTTGGAAGAGGAATTTCATAGTGAATATATACCAGTGTGTTAATGGAACAAAGGCATAGTAAGACAGAAGAGATGTTTTTCTCTGTGTTTGGAGATAAGAGGGAGGAGGGCAGAACTATTTAGCTTTCACAACTGACAGTTCTGATACTGTAAAAACAAATTTGGTTGTTGCTGGAGTTGTCTTCATGTTCTATAAAGCACCGAAACTCAAAAGAAGCCTTGCAATTTTTCCAGCTTTTTTTCGTCTGATGAAAAGTAATTACCTTATAAC